GCCAAGGACCTTAAGGACATCAGAAGTCCAATGTGGCTGAAGTCCAGCGAAGATGAGCTGGGTTCAGGTCTTGTCCCGCCCATCGCGGACAATGGAAGTCCAAAGCATGTGGGAGACCGCACTGGCAGCGAGCTACCCAACTTCAGGAAATCAGACACTGACAGCGCAGGACCCAACCGCATTAAGCTGTGCACAGATGAAGATAAGCCTATGCTCATGTAGTCCATCGGCAGCACTGCAAGGCCCAGGCGGCTGGAGCAACGCAGAGGCAGCGATGGTCCCATGCAGGACACATCCAAAATCAGTACAAAAGAGCCAGGACATGCCATGCCCAGAGCCAGAGAGGCCGAGTCTAATCGCGCAGGCTGCCTGACAAGCAGGGAGGATCCGGGAAGGGCAAAATCTGGGGCAAAGGGAGACGGTCCGCAGCGAAGCATGCCAGACGCCAGCAAGCTGAAGCCCGTTTGTGCAGAGTTTTGCAGGGGCGGTGGCGAGCCCGAAACAGTGAAGTCAGGCAAGGGCGTGGCGCTTCCCAGGCAGGTGGAGGAATGCAAAAACACGGCGCTGTCCAGGTAGGCGCAGTCCGATGCCGGCAAAGGTAGCCCTGAGTTGGCAACACCAAGCAACAAGGACGCCAAGTCCAGCCTGGCACAGCTACGAAGCAACGTGTTGGAGCCCGTCTTGGCAAAATCCAGTACCAACGGAACACTGTCCAGTCTTACGCAGCTCCGGACCAACAGCGAGGAACTGAGATGGACAGGATCCAGCACCAGCAGTGAGAATCCCATCTGAACCTTGCCAACGATAGGCAAACTCAAGGCCAGGTGCCCAAGAGATCTCGTTAACATCGAGAATCCAGACTGCACAGGATCCAGAAGAGGCAGCGCCAGGTCCAGCTGAGCCAGTGATCGGATAGACGATGCAGATCCTGGAACCGTGTTATCCAGCATCAAGGGGGTGGAGCCTAGCCGAGAGCATGAAAAGACTGGAAGTGGTAGGCCAAGAGCACCCGTGCTTCTCGAAGAGGGTGCGGGCCCCGTCACGCCAGAGCTTGACACCGACACCGAAAATCCAAGTTGCACAGAGCTTTGTGCGGACATCGTTGGACCCATGGCAGAAGGATCCAGTGTAGGTGCCAGAGGTTCTGAACGCAGCAGCCCCATAACCAAAAACGCTGAGCCAAGACAAGCGGAGGATTGCAAAGGCACAGCCGATTCGGCGTTGACGAAATCGGTGGGAGGCAACATGAAGCCAAATCAGGCAAGGCTCCTTGCTGAAGTTGGCAGCCCCGAGCACGCATGATCCAGAAGCGACGGTGTGCTGTCAGGCCATGATGTGCCAAAGGCAGAGAATCCGAAGCCCAGCCTACCGAGACTTCTCAGCAGAAGAGAGGATTCAGGGCGACCAAAGTCTGGTAGAAAGACTGCCGACCCCAGGCGCACGAGAGAGCGTGTCGGTGGGGCAGAGCCTAACACGGCATAGTCCAGTGTTGGAGGCAGGCTTTCCAAGCGGCTCACGCTAAATGCTGGAAAGGCCAGTCCCGTTTGAGAGGAGCTTCTAGCAGACATGATCAAGCCAGACTCTGCAAAGTCGTAGGGAGAGAAGCTGGGGCCCATACGGAAAATTCCGAAGTGCGAGGACGGCGGCCCGGATCGAGCCATGCTCCTCACAAGCGACGCCGAGCCCAATTCCGTCAAGGTGAAGGCGGAGGACGCTGAATCTAAGCAGGCAGTGCTCATGGGTGGTGCAGTGGAGCCTATTCGCATCATGTGTCGGATAGGCATGATTGGCTCAAAGACCGTGTGATCCAGCAAGGACACAGTCAGGCCTGGACGAGCGCAGCTACGAATGGGCACCGCCAGCCCGGGATCCGTGAGATCCAAAGTTGATAGTGTGAGGCTTAGCCGGGTGATTCCAAGGGTAGAGGATGCAAAGTCAGAACAGGAGGGGCTTTGTGGCAGCACTAGGGAGCCAGTATGGACAAAATCAGGGGGTGGTAGCAGCAGGCCCATTCAGGAGAAGCTCCTAAAGGACACCGGGAGGTCAGAGGCCGCAACTCCAAACAAGAACGACAAGGAGTCTGAGCGGCTCTGACCGCAGATCGAAACTGGAAAACCCAGCCGGAACAAGGACCTCACAGATAGAAAACTGCCAGTAGTAATGGGATCCAGGACTGACAACAGGAGACCAGGCTTGGATACGCCTGCGACGGATGGAGCAGAGCTCAAGCAAGTGTGGGATCGAAGAGGCAGCAACGAGCCCAGGTGCAGGAAGTCCACTAAAGGCGTTGACACCTCTAAGCAGCTGCAGCCAGACGTAGGCAGCAAAGAGCCACCGCACATGATGGATTGCAACAGTAGCGAGCTGCCGAAGTGAGCCAAGTCAGGTGGCGAGGCTGATAAGCCAAGGCATCCAGCCCCAAACACCAAAAAGGCCAAGTCCGACTGACTGGAGCTCCTGGGCAGTGGAGATAGCCCTGACTCGGCCGTGTCCGGCAAAGAAGCCACCAAGCCCGGACGTGCCAAACCGGAGGTTGACAGCAGAAAACCCAGGCAACCGCAAGACCTGGTCGGCATCGTTGAGCCAATATGGGAGAAGTCCGAGACCAAGGGCGGCAAGCCCAAGCACGCGAGGCTGTGCAACGAAGGCGGAAGTCCGAGTCTCAAGGAGTCTAGCACAGGCACGCTCAAGTCTGGTCTGGCCACACCAAACGAGGATGCAGCAAGATCTGTGCAGAACATGCTGCGCAGAGAGGTGGAGAAGCCAAGCTGGGCAAGATCGGGAAGCGGCACTGTGGAGCCCAGGCGCACCGTGCTTCGTATCGAGGCTGCAAGGCCAGCGCAAGCATGGTCCAAGGGAAGCAGCGTCAAGTCAAGTCGTGCGTAGGCAAATGCTGAAAGCGTAGGCCCAAAGCATCCGATACCTCTCAGAAGCGGCGGGGGGCCAAGCCTCAAGAAGTCCAAGGCAGATACCTGCAAACCAGAGCAGCTCATGCTCCATGCAGACAGACCAGATCCCATGTGTGTGGAAGATCGAATGGGCGAAGTGAACCCTAACACGGTAAGATCCAAGGCTGGCAACAAGGCTTCCAAGCGCATAAAGGACCTCAGCGGCGCCAAAGGCCCAACATGAACGTGGTCCGACGGTGGTGAGGTTGGGCCGGGTCTTGTGGCGCTGAAGGCAGGAAAGGATGAGCCCAAGCGGATGTTAGAATGCAGGAACAATGAAAATCCGATCATCGCAAGATCCAGGGGCGGCATCTGCAACCCCAAGCAGCTGAGGCTTCGCACTGGTACAGCGCTACCAAAAGCCACGCGATCAAGCATTGAAAGCAAAGGTCCAGGGCAACTGCTGCTGAAAGTCAAGAATGGCAGGTCCATGCGAGAGGGGCTGCGCAAAAACATGGGGGAACCAACGAATGCGTAGTCCAGGAGCGGCATTTGAAAATCTGAGCGCACGCGGCTGAAGACAAGCAGGAAGGAACCCAAATGGGCAGAGCTTCGAATGGGCACCAGCAAGCCAAGAAGGTGGCAATCAAGCAAGGATGAAAGCAAGTCAGGCCTTACTGTACCAAAGATTAACATGTAGAAGCCTGGGTGTCCATAGCTTTGCGGGGGAAGCAGGGAACCCAGATATGCGATGTCACAGGTGGGCATTGGTGGACCGAAGCGCACCTTGCCAAAGATGGGCAACATAGAGCCGGGCCAGGCGTTAACTTGCAGAAACAGGGAAAGGCCAATTTGGAGGAAGTCCAGCACAGAAATAGGCGATCCTGGCCTAGAGAAGCTCCTCAAGGACAAGAAGGAGCCCAGGTAGGCGAAATCTGAGGCCAATGGAGCAGCGTCCGGGCGGGTGGTGCAGAAAACTGGCAATCCGGAGCCTGACCAACCAAAGCTCCTCGAAAACAATGAGGACTCGGGTTGGCTGAAATCAGACGAAGAAGTGCTGGGCTCTAACCGGACTGTGGAAAAGCACGGCAGAGATAGGCCTGGCTGTGTAGCACCCCGGGATGACAGTGTGGGACCAGACTCCACATAGTTCGAGGCGGAGAGCAAGAAACCCAGACGCACACTGCTGGAAATCAAAGATGGTAGGCCAAGTTGCGCATAGCTGCGAAGCAGCAATCCTGAACCCAGTCCCGCAATATCCAGCACTGACAAGCTGCTGCCGAAGCGCGCTGTGCTAGAGGTCGGCAGTATGAGGCCAAAGCATGCCGTGCCCCTGGTAGGCGGGTGCAAGCCCGACTGCAAGAAATCTGGCAGAAGCACTGGAGAGTCAGATCGGGTGGTGCTAAAGGTCGAGGACGTTGATCCAGATTGGGCCGTAGATCGAATAGACATTGTCGGGTCCAGGTGCAAGAAGTCTAGCGCCAACAGCAATGATCCGAAGCAGCCTGTGCCGAAAAGAAACAGGTGCGAGTCCATGCGCGCATGGCTACGCGCTGAGAGGGGGAGTCCCAAGTGCAAGGAGTCCAGGGCTGAGGGCGACGGCTCCGTGCAAGTGCAGCTGAACGCAGGTGCAAACGGGCCCGTTCATGCAATGCTTTGTGAGGACGGTCCAAAGCCCAAGTAGCTGCAATCGAAAGCCAGCAGCATGAGGTCCAGGCGCTGGATGCCGAAGAGCGAGGCAGCGCTACCAAATCAAGTCACAGACCGCACCAGCAGAGTGGGTCCCAGGTGCTGGCAGTCAGATACCAGCAGCGCGGGCTCCAAACGCGCAACGCTCCAGGCGAAAGGCGTTGGACCTACGCACGCTGCGCCTCTCGGGGGCGATAAAGATCCCGGGCAAGCAGAATCAGACGCAGGTGAAGGCGGCTCTAAGCGGACAAAGGAATGGGTCGAAGTCAGACTGCCGGAGTACGTGGAGTCACACACAGGCAACGAGGAGCCCAACCTGGTGGTGCTGGAGGCAGGGACTGGCAGTCCTAGTTGCGCAAAGGAGCGGAGTGACAAAGCAGATCCTGAATGCAAGAAGTCAGGGACAAGCATTGAAGGTCCCAGTTAGGCCAAGCTTCGCAGTGACGACGTGGGGCCTGGCGCTGTAAAGTCCGGCACTGGAAGTGTTGGCCCTGGCCGGAGTTTGCCAGACACTGATAACTGGGAGCCCAAACAGCCACGGCTCCTGAGCAACGTGGTGGATCCCAGGTGACTGCAGTCAGACACCAATGAGCTCGGCCCCGGTCTAGACATCCCGGACAAAAGCAAAGGGCTTTCAAAACAAGAACAGCTTTGCAAGGAGGCCGTGAGGCCTGGGTGAAGGAAGTCCAAGGCCAAAAGGGTTGGCCCGAACTTGGTCATGCCGAAGGCAAGGAGCGATGGGCCCATGTGGACCATGCTGCGAGCAGGCGAAGAGGGGCCAAGGCGTAGGAGATCCGGAATTGATGTGGAAGCTCCGAGCCACGTCTTGCCAAATGCTGAGGGGGACAAGCCACAACAAACCATGCTTCGCATCGGCACCAACAAACTTAGGTGAAGGAAGTCAAGGGCTGGCGCCGAGAAGCTCAAGCGCGAAGGGCTGCGTGGAGAGAGCGTCGATCCACAGCTGGCCGTGTCTGGCAGGGATACCGTGAAGCCCAAGCATGAGGAGCTTCGAGGTGATAGCACGGAGCCAGCCAGGGCTGCATCCAGCACAGGCGGCATGGGGCCAAGCCGTGAAATCCCGGAGACAGAAATGGCAAGCCCCATACGCGCAGATGACCTCAAAAACACGGGGCTTTCCGGGTGCAGGAAATCCAGCACTGACGATGCAAGGTCCAGATGAGCTAAGGATCGCAAGAACGATGAGGGGCCGGGCGCCGTGCAATCTGACGCCAGCAACGTCAAGCCCAGGCGACAAGCACTAGAGACAAGTATGAATGGCTCCGGTCTTCCCATGCTTCGCAGTAAAAGCAACAGGCCAAGGTATGTAAAATCAAGCACAAGGGGTGGAAAGTCGACTCAGCCCATGCCAGATGCCAGAAGCGTTGGTCCCGTCCAGGCATGGCTCCGAGTCGGCATCAGCAAAGCAAAGTGCGCAAAGTCCAGAGCCAACAGGGCTGAATCTAAATGTAACGAACTTTGAGCAGGCAGCAAGGGCTCAGGCTGAACACAGTCCAGGGCAAATGGTGTGAAGCCAAACCGAGAAGATTGGAAGGCAGACATGGCACTACCCAGCCAAGAGAAGCTTCGCATGGGCAAAGGGGAGCCCAATGTCAAAAAATCCAGCACCGATGGTGGAAGTCCTGGGCAGGCCATGCTTCTTGGAAGCAAAGGCAGGCCAGGGTGTGTAAAGTCCAGTGCAGGCAGCAGACTCGCCGGACGCGCCACGCCTAAAACCAACAAGCTGAAGCCACACCGCGCAAAGCTTCTTGGGGATGGGTTACTTCCAGGCCGCACCATATCGCACATCGAGGCCTTGTCGCCCAACCGCACAAGTCCGAAGAGAGGGATGGCCAAGCCCGGTTGGGCAAAGCTGTGAAGCAGCGAAGTTGACCCGGACCAGCTGCAGTCGAGGACCAAGGGGGGGAAACCAAAGCGCGAGGCTGAGAAGGCTGAGGCTGCCAGACCAGAACACCCCGTGCTTCGCGAAGACAGCATCGGGTCTGGATGTGTGGCATCGGACACGAACACACTGAATTCAGAGCAATTAATGCCAAAGGCCGATGGCAGGGAGCCAAAGGAACCCATTGATTGCAGCAACAAAGTGGAGCCAAAGTGCGTGGAATCGGGCACAGGCAATGATGACTCCATTGAAATCCTGCTAAAGAGGGACAGTGAAGACCCCGAGCAGTTGCTGCTTTGAAGTAACAGAAAAAGGTCTGAATGAAGGAGGTCAGTCACTAGCAGAGCCGATCCCAGGCGAGCGCAGCTTCGCAAGGGTGCTGGGAAACCCAGGTGTGTAGAGTCCAAGGCAAGCAGCAGGAAGTCCATCCAAGCGCAGCTGAATGCAGAAGCCAGTGCCTCAAGTTGTCCCATTGATTGCAATGGCAGAAATGAGCCTAGATGCGTCATGTCGGGTGCCAGTAAGAAGGAACCAAAGCGCACGCATGAGGAGGCGAGCGAGGGCAAGTCCGTACACGCAGCGGACCGCAGTAGCAGTGTAGATCCGAGGTTCACACGATCTGAGGCCAGCAGCGGCGGACCCATGCGGTACATTCCAAAAGCGGATAGCGGAAAGCCACTGCGCCCAAGGGAGTGTGGCAACAGCGAGGATCCCAGGCGCATGAGGTCCAAGGCCGACGATGGACTTTCAAAGCGGCCGCATCCGAAGGCTGAAAGCAAAAAAGCCGTGTGAGTGAAGCTTTGCACAAGCAGCATAGGCTCAGGCTTCAAGAAATCCGAGGTCAGGACGGCAAGTCCCAATCAACTCAGGCTGTGAGGCAGCAAAGGCAAGCCAAGGTGCACGCAGTCCGATGCCAGCAACAGAGGTCCCAAGCAAGTAATGCCACATGCAAAGAATGGTGGCTCCAACCTAGCAAGGGACTGCAGCAACGTTGAGGGCTCGGGTTGTGTGGGATCAGGGACAAGCAGAAACGATTCCAGCCTACAGCAGGAGAAGCTCGAGAAGCTGAATCCTGGATGGGCCATGCTCCGGAGCAGCAGGGACAACCCCACATGCGTGAGATCCAGGGCTAACAGGCTGAAACCCACACGAGTGGAGGAGAAGGCGAACAGAGCCAAACCCAATCTCACGCTGCTTTGGGGGGGCGTCATGAAGCCAAGGTGAAGGAAATCAAGCACCGAAGGAGCTGACTCTAAGCGCGCAAGGCTTCGCATGAACAGCCCTAAGCCAGGCTGGAGGAGGTCCAGGACAGGCAAGGTGGGATCAAAGCGTGAGCGCCCGAAGGCTAAGAGCGATGGGCCTACATGTCCAAGGGATTGTGGTGAGGGAGCCAATTCTAAGCGGAGGGAGTCAAGGACAAGCAGGGGAGAACCCATGCAGCCCAAGCCAAAGGCGGAGGAAGAAAGCTCAAGTCAAGTCATGGATTGAGGCAGTGAGGCTGAGCCCAGATGCAAGAAGTCCAGGACGAAGGCAGCGGAATCTGAGTGGCTACAGCTTTGTGAGGGCAAAGAGAAGCCCAGGTGTGCGCAGTCCGGGGCAAGCAAGGAAGGGCTCAAGCGAGCCAGGCCCAAAACCAAGGAAGATGGGTCCATTTCAGCGAGGCTATGGGGAGACAGTGCAAAACCAAAGTTAACACAATCAGGTACAAGAGGCGATGAGCCCATGCGTCCCATAGAGAAGATTGGCATAGCAGGTTCAGGGCGCGCAAAGCTCCTTGGAGGCAGCGGCGGGTCTGGCTCCCCCATGTCCGAGATCGGCAGCAGTAGGCCTAAAGCAACGCGGCTGAAAAGTGAGAGGTTCAGCCCCATGCGGCCTAAGCCTTGCAACAGCGTGGCTGGCCCAGGATGCAAAAAGTCCACTGCCAGCAAGGATGGGTCAGACCTCGTCATGCCAGAGACGGGTAGGATGAGCCCTGAGCAAGCTAAGCTTCGCATAAACAAAAACGGCCCGGGAGACTCAGAGTCCAGGGTCAGCAGCTGAAGACCAAAGCTGGCTATGCCGGAGGCCAATGGGTTGGATTCTAGGGTGGCCATGCTTTGTGGGGGAATCATGGAGCCCAGATGTGCACTGTCCAACAAAGAAAATATGGGCTCCGTGCAGCTCAAACCCGTAGCAAGCAGCATGAAGTCAAGTTGGCCAAGGTTTTGCAGAGACGAGATGAAGTCGAAGTGTACAGAGTCCAGGGCAGGGAGTGAAAGTCCCAGTCAAGCAAGGGACCTGGTTGGCATCGCAAAATCAAGATGCAGAGAATCAAGCACTGGCGAAGGCAGTGCCATGCGCGTGCAACCCACTGTGGACGTGAAGAAGGCCAAGCGCACAGAGTCTCGTGCAGAGATTGTTGGCCCGAACTCCGCAACGTCCAGGATTGGCATCATAGAGCCATACCTTACACTCTGAAAGATCGAGGGTGGGGAGCCCAAGTAGAACTTGCTTTGTGGGGGCAGTGCGAAGCCCAGGGACGTGAAGTCAAGGGCGAAAGGCGAAGAGCCAGGCCAGGAGATGCCATAAGCTGATAGTGGTGGCTCCGGGCAGAGGAGGCCCTGCAGTAGCATGGTAAAACCCAGATGGATGAAGTCTAGCAAAGGCAAAATGCTGCCAGGTCGGCACATGCTGTAAGTAAGCGAGGCAGGCTCGGGATGTGTGGAGCTCCTCAAGGAAGTGAAGCTGCCAGTGTGGATGGGATCAAGGATTAGCAGTAAAGAGCCCAGCCAGGATACGCCGAAGGCCGACGAAGAAAGCCCGATGCATGCAGAGGAGCGGAGCGACAGCAGTGAGTCAGCGTGGGCAAAGTCTGAGGCTGGAGGTAATGGCTCTGAGTACGCGAGACCATAGGCTGAGAGGGTGGAGCCCGGCTGGATGTAACTGTGGAGCAGCGGTGAGCTGTCCGGCTGTGAAAGGTCGAGCACAGGCAGGGGCAACTCTGAGCAAGTAATTCCATAAGCCGGCGAAGGAAATCCAACCTTGAAGAGAGCGCGCGGTGGCGCCGAAGAGCCCGTTGCAGCGTAGTCTGGCACAAACGATAGAAACCCCGAGCAGCTCATGCCATAAGCCAACAGCACACTGCCTACGTGGAGAAGGCCTTGCAACGGGGGTGAGGGACCCATCAGTGCAGGGTCCAGCGCAGGCAGCAGGCTTCCTGGGCATGTGAGTCCGTAGGCCAACAGTGTCAAGCCCAGTCAAGCGAGCGTGTGAGGCGAAGACGGCAAGCCGGTGTGACTGCAATCTGGGATAAGCAGCAGCGGCCCCAGCCACGTAAAGCCATAAGCAAACATCAACGGGTCCATGCAGCAGGGTGTCCTCAAGAGCAACAGGGGTCCCAGGCTAAGGAAGTCCAGCACTAGGAGGGAAGAGCCCAGGCGACTCAGCCCATAAGCTAATAGCATCAGGCCAAGTCGCAAAGAGGCTCGGATAGGCAGAGTGAGATCAAATTGGACAAAATCCGACACAGACAAGCTCAGGCCTGTCCTAGTCACCCCATAAGCCAAAGGCGGGAAGCCAGAGCAACAGAAGGCTTGTAAAGGTGCAGATGGCCCCACATGGACCCAGTCCAAGACCAGCAGTGGAAAACCAAGTCGTGAGAGTCCGTAGACCAGAGCCGGCGGCCCCAAACGGAGGAAACTCCTCAAGAACAGAGGCGACCCCGTGTGAACAAAGTCCAACACAAACAAAAAACTGCCTGACCTCGCAACACCGGATGCAAAGGGAGTGGATCCAATGCAGCAGAAATTCTGCGGAGGTGTGGTCGGATCAGAATGCACGAAGTCCGGCACTAAAAGTGGGAACCCGAGGCGGGACATTCCGAACAAGGGCAGGATGCTTCCTGGGCATGCGAGGTACCTCATCAACAGCAGGGAGCCGACATTGACAAAATCAGGCACCGGAAGCAACAGGTCAGGCCAAGTGATGCCATACACGGACAACGCCAATCCTGCATGCAAGTGTGTATGCAGCGGCACGGAAGGCTCAAGAGTTGTGAAGTCCAGGACAGACATCATGAATCCAGGCCGCGTCATTCCGGAGGCCAGAAGAGTGGAGCCCGGATGTGCCACCGACTGCAGTGGGGGAGATGGCTCAAAATGGCTGAGGTCCAGAGCCGGTGTTGAGGATTCTGGCCGTGTCACCCCATAAAGCGGCAAGATAAGACCGGGCTAAGCAGGACTTCGGGTTGAGAGGTTGGGGTCAGTATGCACCAAGTCCAGGGTCGATGAGGTCAAGTCAAGGCGGGAGACCCCATAGGTTGGCATAGAAAAGCCGAAGCATTGGGGGCTTTGCAGTGGCGGCAAGGGCCCAATAAGCACAAAGTCTGAGGCGAAAGGAGTTGAGTCTAAGCAAGCTAGTCCGGAGGCCGGCACCAGACTTCCTGGGCAACACAGGCTTTGCAGCAACATGCCTGGGCCAATGTGCACAAGATCAAGTGTAGAAAGCATTGGGCCCAAGTAGGCCATTCCGTAGGCCGGCAGAAGCGGTCCGAGTTGCATCATGCTTCTCAATAGCATCAGGAAGTCAGGCTGGGTGGAATCCAGCACTGGCAGCAAGAGTCCCAGCCTTGCAATGCCGTAGGCGGATGATGTGAGGTCCGTTTGTAAGTAGCTTCGCAGTGGCAGCGGGCTCCCCAGCATCATGGGGTCTGGCACTAGCAGCAAGGAGCCAGGCCAAGACATGCCGTAGGCAAACGAGGTAGGCCCAGAGCGAACCAGGCTTTGAGGAAGCAGGGCGGGACCCACCTGGACAAGATCCGGAGCCAGCAAAAAGGAGCCAAGACGGCTTATGCCAGAGGCAAGGACAGGAAAGCCGGTGCAGATGGATGTCCTCAGTGAAATTGGGAACCCGATATGCGCACAGTCAAGCAAAAGCAACAGCAAGTCTAGCCTGCAAAGTCCGTAGACTGACAACAAGAAACCCGAACACAAGGATGCCTGCGAGGGTGGAGGTAAAGCTACGCTGACGAAGTCAAGTGCTGGAAGTGGTAGCCCCAGGCGAGACATGCCGAATGCCAATGGAGGGCTACCTGATCAGAGACAGCTCTTTAGGAATAGCGGTGGGCCCGGATGCAGAGAGTCCGATGCCGGTAGACTTGAGCCCGGGCACGTCATCCCAAATGCAAAGAGGGCTAAGCCCGCGCAAAGGAAGGTTTGGATAGACATCAGGAGATCTATATGGACAAGGTCCAGCACTGAAAGCGGCAGTTCCGGCCTTGACATACCATAAGCCAGCAGAGCCGAACCAAAGTACACAAAGCTTCTGAGCAGCATCGGGGGCCCTGGGTGGAGAAGGTCCAGAACAGGCAGCGGAGAGTCCGACCTGCTAACGCCGTAAGTCAGCATTGGGGAACCCATGTGTGCAAAGGACCTGAGCAATGGTGAAAGGCCTGGATGGATCAAGTCTGAAATGAACAGAGAGAACCCCAAGCAATGCATTCCGAAGACAGGCAGGCTCAGCCCTGAGCGTGTGAGGCTTTGTGTGGACAGCAGCGAGTCTGAATGTATAGAATCCAGTGCAGACAGGCTGGGACCCGTGAGAGACATGCCGTACGCAAGGATCGGCAAGTCCACTTGAAGGGAGGATCTCGGGGGCGGCGGGAGCTCAGGGTGTACAGAATCAAGGGCCAGCAGGGAGCTGCCCATGCAACTAAGCCCATAGGCTAGAAGAGTGGATCCCAGCCGCAAGGGCGCACGGGGCGGCACTAAGAAGCCCATCTGACAGAGATCCAGCAAAGGCAGAAGAAAGCCTGGCTTGCACAGACCGAAGGCCAACAAGGAGGGCTCAGGTTGCAAAAGGGTTCGAAGTGAAGGCAGGGACCCGAAGTTCACGGAGTCCAGCACTGACAAGGGGGATCCAACGCAAGTGATTCCATAAACAGACGCAGATGGGCCCAGCCTGCAGAAGCTTCGAGTTGGCATGGTGGGTCCAGGGTTTGCAAAATCCAAGAGAAGAAGAAAAGAGCCCGGAAGTGACACACCATAGGGCGGTGGGGAGGCTTCTGGCCGCGAGAGTGTCCGAATGGGCAGCAGGAAGTCCAAATGCGCAGAGTCCGGAGCCAGCAGCGGAGGACCTGAACGGCAGAGCCCGTAAGCCAAAGGGAAAAGGCCTGATCAAAGGAAGCTCCTTGAGGACATGGTGCTGTCTGGATGAATGAAGTCTGGCACTGGGAGTGAGAGCTCTGGCTGCGACATGCCATAGGCAAGAAGTGTGAATCCCAGACGAATATGGCCTTGCAGAAGCAAGGTTGGGGCAAAGCTCACAAGATCAAGCACCAGCAATGGCAGGCCTAGTCGAGTCAGCCCATAGGCCGGTGGCAAGCTGCCAGGTTACAAAAATGTTTGCGAAGGCAGCAATGGCCCGGTTGATACCAGGTCCGACACTGGCGGCGGCGAGTCGGGGCGGAAGAGTCCGTAGGCTGGCAGGGGGCTTCCCAGCCGCGCATGGCTGCGAGCCGGCAAAGCAGGCCCTACGTGCACAAAGTCCAAGACCGAAGTCAGGGAGTCTGGCCGGCATAGGCCGTAGACCAGCAACGGGAGCCCTAGATGGCAGTGGCTGCGCAACGGCATTGTGGACCCGGGGTGGCTGAGATCCAATGTGAAGAGAGGCGATTCAAGCCGGGTCATGCCAGAGGTCAGCAATGAAAAGCCTGACCAAGCAGAGGACTGCGGCAGCAGAGGGAGGCCAGGATGTGTGAAGTCAAGGATTGAAGGACAACTTTCAACTCGAACCCTACCCATCGCCGGCAAGGTGCTGCCGAAAAGAGCATGGCTTTGAGGAAACGGCACAGGGCCCAAGTGAGTAGAGTCTGGCATGGGCAAGAAAGATCCCAGCCTTGCAACACCATAGGCCAGCAAACCACTGCCAAGTCACATGAGGCTTTGAATTGGCATCACAGGCTCCAGGTGAAGGAAATCCGAAGCCGGGAGAGTGCTGTCTGATCACATGATGCCATACACAGAAACGCTCGAGCCAAGGCAGAGGAGGGTTCGAGGGAACAGCAAGCTGTCAATGTGCACAGAATCCAGTGCAGGCAACAGAGGTCCGGGCCGTGACAATCCATAAGCTGGCAAGCTGAAGCCTAACTATGCGAAGGTTTGGAGCAATGGCACAGGCCCTAAGTGCACATAGTCCAAGGCAAGAATAGAAAGGCCCAGGCAGGATACGCCGTAGACCGACATCGAGCTTTCCACCCACATGAGGGTTCGCAACAAGAAGGACAGGTCCGGCTGAGCACAATCCAAGGCCAAAGTCAGGGAACCTAACCAGGTAAGTCCAGAGGTCAGCAGGGTTGGACCTATGCGCATGGAGGTTTGGAGAAGCAAAAAACTGCCCAGGGACACAAAGTCCAGCACAGACAAGCTGCTACCCAGTTTCGACAGGCCATAAGCAGACATCGTCAAGCCCAACCTCAGGAGGGTTTGGGCAGATAGGGAAAAGCCCACAGTGCAGAGATCCAGAACCAAGGAGGAAAAGTCAAGAAAGGCCAGACCATAGGTAGAGGGCGTCGGACCCATGCGCGTAAGCCCATGCAGAGGCAAAGGTAAGCTAAATTGTCCGAGATCCGGCGAAGGCATCGCTGGCCCAGGCCTTGTCATGCCAAAGGCCGGCAGGGGCAAACCCAGATGAAATAAGGCCCGCAGTAGCAGCGGCGGCCCGGTGGTCACATAGTCTGGCACAGGTAAGCTCAGACCCGAACAGACTACGCCATAAAGAGGCGAGGAGCTACCTGTTTGCGCAAAAGTTTGCAGCAGCAGACTTGATCCCAAATGGACGGAGTCCAACGCAGGCGGTGAAGACCCCAGCTGCGCAAGCCCATAGATCGAAACAGAGCTGCCCAAACGCGCAAGGCTCCGAAGCGGCAGTAATGGACCTGTGCCAATGTAGTCCAGGACCAATGACAGGAGGTCAGGCCAGGAAATCCCATAAAGTGAGGGTGTGGAGCCGCACCGCAGGAAGCTTCTCATAGGTGTGACCGATTCTGAATGTAAAGGGTCTGGCACAGGCAGCAGGAGGCCTAAGCATGACAGCCCGTAAGCGGATAAAGTGCTGTCAGCTTGGATGAGTGACTTCAAAGGCAGCAAGAAACCCAAATGAACCATGTCAGGGATTGACGAGGTCGAGTCAGGTCAGCTTATGCCGTATGTCGAAGCAGACGAGCCACAGCGCACAAACCCTCTCAAGGAAGTCACGGGGCCCGAATGATTGTAGTCCAATATGGGAAGTGGCAGGTCCAGGCGCGTCAGGCCATAAGTGGATAGGACACTGTCAAGTCTAGCAGAAGTTCTGAGGGACGGGGCGAGACCGGGCTTCACAGAGTCAAGTACAGGCGGAGAAGAGCCCATCATTGTCATGCCATAGGCAGGCGAAGCAAATCCAAGCTGAACGTAACTATGGGTTGGCATGGCCAATTCAAAATGAGAGAAGTCCAAGGCCAGAAGTGGTGACCCCACACACATCAAGCCATAAGTAGACAGAAAGCTGCCAAGCCAGGCATGGGATTGTGAAGATGGAGCAAATCCGAAATGGATGCAATCTGAAGCCAGCATCGAACTTCCTGGCCTAGAAAAGCCGTAGACTGACATTGGGAAGTCCAATCTCACAGGGCCTTGCAAGAACATGGCGGGACCAGGATGAAGGAAGTCTGGTGCAAACAGCAGCAAGCCTAGTCAGGACATGCCGTAGGCAGGAGGGCTTGAGCCAGAGCGTGCGTGGCTGCGAAGAGGTGGGGAGCTACCGAAGTTTGCGAATTGCAAGATAGAGAACCTGCCACCATAGCGAATCTCGCCAAGGAGCGAGATCGAGGGGCCAGCACAAATGGATGAGCGCAGTGGCAACATCAAGCCCATCACTACAAAGTCCGGCGCTGACATGGACGATCCTGACCATGTCATGCCAAATGCAAACAAAGGACTCTCAGGCTGCATGGAGCTCCGCACGGACATAAAGGGCTCGGTGTGCACGTAGTCTAAGGCAAGCAGGGGGCATTCAGCGCAGCCCGCACCGAGAGTTGAAGGAAAGCTGCCGATATGAGCGGGATGGCGCATTGGCATCATTGAGCCTATGTGGATGTGGTCTGGGATTGGTGGCAAAGATCCTGGATGGGTCACACCATAAGTCGGCGGCAAGAAGCCTAGGTAAGCAAGTCCTCTTGGGAAGAGTGAGGAGCCCAGGTGCACAAAGTCAAGGGCAGGAGGTGGCAAGCCCATCCTACTCAATCCATAGGCTAAAGGTAAAACACCAAGCCTGGCAAAAGCGTGTATCAGTAGGTTCAAGCCCGGATGGCACAGATCAAGCACCAACAAACAGCTGCCGATGCGACAGTGCCCAAAAAAGGACAGCACGCTCCCAACCTGACACATGTTCCTTACTGGAAGAGCAAACCCCGGCAACACAAAGTCCAATGCTGGCAGTAATGGGCCGAGGTTCGCCAAACCGTAGGCTAACACACTGAGTTCAGGGCGCATAGGGCTTCGAAGCGTCGACGAAGGCCCAAAGCCAATGGAGTCCGGGACCAACATGGACAAGCCAAGCTTTGTCATGCCAGACGCCGAAGGGGAGCTGCCCATTCACATAGAGTTCTGCAAGAAGATGGCCAACCCAATATGCACAAAATCAGGTACCAAAAGGCTTGAGCCTAATCTGGCCATGCCATAAGTCGAAGGACAGAAGCCCAGGCGGGCGGAAGAACGCAAAAAAGGCAAAAGGCCCAGGTGGGTCATGTCAAGGATGGGAAGGCTTAGGCCCAGGCGGCAGAGGCCGTAGGCCAACAAAAATGACCCGCAGCAGAGAAGGGCCTTCAAGGGCATCAGGGAGTCGAAGTAGGTGGAATCCAGGGCCAACAACGGGAGCTCTAGTCTTGTTACCCCAAAGAGGAACGACGAAGGACCTAAGTGTGCGGGTCCTTGCGGAGGAAAGGAAGGCTCAGAGTGGACAAAATCAAGGATCAACATTGAAAACCCTGGCCGGCTCATGCCGTAGAGTGACGTGATCGGATCAGGTCAGATGAGGCTACGCATCAGCAGAGAAGGGCCAATATGAACAAAGTCAGGTACAGGCAGCAGAAATGCTGAGCAGGTCATGCCATAGGCTGAGAGAGCCAGGCCTGCACAAAGGAGACCACGAGGCGGCAAGGACAGTTCAAGTGATGCAAGGTCCAGCACCAGAGGCAAGGGACCCATTCGAGTCATGCCAAAGGGCGGCGAGCTCGAGCCAAGCTGCGCGGAGCTTTGGACCGACGAGGAAAAGCCAATGTGGATGAAATCCAACGCTGGCAAGGACGAGTCCGTGCGCACTACCCCGTAGGCTGGAGGCAACGGCCCGAGTCAGCCGGAAGAATGCAAGAATAGCGGGGGATCGATGTGGACAGGGTCTGGTGCCAATGGCAATAAATCAGACTGTGACATTCCGTAGGCAGGCAACGCCAAGCCCAAGCAGACATGAGATTGCAAGGACAGGGGTGGCCCAATGATTGCAAGGTCCGGCGCTGGCAAGGGCAGCGCTAAGCAACTTGTCCCATACACGGATGAGGCAAAGCCGGTTCACATATAGGTCTGCAAAGGCATAGAGAACCCAAAGTGGGCGCAGTCCAGCACAGACGGCATCAGGTCTAAGCAAGCAATGCCATAAGCAGATGGTACACTCCCAGTCCATGCAGAAGCCTTCGAGGATGATACGAACTCAGAGCTCACAAGGTCCAAGACTGGAAGTAACAGGTCAAGGCGGCCCATGCCGAAGGCTAACAGCGTGAGGCCCGGGCACATAAGGGTCTTCACGGGTGTGGGGCTGTCAGTATGTACAAAATCCAGGGCTGGCAATAAACTACCCAACCTGGACATGCCATAAACCAACATCAGCGATCCTGTGCACATGGATGTCCTCAACAAAGGGCTGAAGCCCAAGTGGACGAAATCTGAGGCTGGCAGCAGCAGGCCAGGCTGTGCCATTCCGTACACGGGAGCCGCAGATCCGGTGCACATGTGGGCTCTGAGTGGCATAAGGAATCCCAACTGCAGGAAATCCAAAGCAGGAGGCAGCAGGCCCAGTCTGCAAACGCCGGAGGCAGGTAGGGCGAGTCCTACATGGATGGAAGTTTGAGGCAGCAGAGGTGATCCAGTGTGAACATAATCAAGGACAGGCAAAGGCAGTCCTAGTTGGCTAAACCCGTAGGCTGGCAGAAGGCTTCCGAGTCTTGTGGGCGTTCGGGTCGGTGGTAAGGAGCCAACATGGCAGGGGTCCAAAATTGGCAAGGAAGGGTCTGGCTGGCTTAGGCCGTACACAAGGGGTGGGGGATCTAGGCATGCAGAACTGCGCGCCGAAAGGAAGAGTTCTGTATGGATTGAGTCAAGCAGAAATGCTGTGGGGCCTGGCCGCGTGAGTCCATAAGCCAAAAGCGCGCTGTCAACTTGAAGGAAGGTTTGCGGTGAAAGTGACAGACCAAAGTTGACAGGGTCCGAAACAAGCAGGGAGACGTCAGGCCAGGCTATGCCCAGTGCCAGAAGAGGGCTGCCAGGTCAGAAAAGTCCACGCGAAGGTGACAGGAAGCCCAAGTGTACAAAGTCCAGCACAGGCAGAAAGGAGCCAGTTCAAGAAATGCCATAAGCCGACAAGGTGGAGCCCAGCCGGCAAAAGCTTTGCACCAACAAAAAGGGCCCAAAGTTGATAAAGTCTGAAGTCAGCAGGGAAAAGTCAGGCCAAGAAATGCCGGAGACGGGTGGACTCGATTCCAATCGGGAGAAGGCGTGAATCAAAAGTGAGGATTCTGGGTGAATGAAGTCTGAGGCTGGCAGTGGGAGTCCGGGGTGTGTTAGGCCATATGCAAACGAAGGCAGACCTAACCAGAGAGGGCTCCTTAGCAGAACAGGCAAACCCATCTGGCAGAAGTCCAGGGGAGAAGCCAAGAGGTCCGGCCGCATGATGCCATATACGGAGCAGGAGCTGCCGAAGCGCACAAGCGTCCGCAAAGATACGGGGGATCCCAAATGTCCGGAATCCAGGGTGGAAGGGAACGGGCCTAAGCATGACATCCCAAAGACAAGCAGGGCTAATTCGGGATGGGAAAGGGACCTCAGGGGCAAGAGCAAGCCCAAAGACAGAAAGTCTGACGCCGAAGGAGTTGGACCCAGTCTGGTCAAACCATACACAAGCATGGTGCTTTCAGGGTGGATGAAGGCCTGCAAAGGTAGGGTGAAGCCAGCATGGAACAAGTCCAGCAGAGGCGGGCTCGGGCCCAGTCGGCACATGCCAGAAAGCAGCAACATCAGGCCCAGTCTCAAGAAGCTATGCAGGGACAGGGACAGGCCGAACATGGCAGGGTCCGGTGCAAGCAGTGGCAATCCACAGCAAGCGATGCCATAGGCTGACAGCACTGGCCCTGTTCACATGAAGTGCCTTATGGGGGCCGTGGGGCCAATCAGTGCAAAGTCTAATGCAGGAGGTGGGCTTCCCGTCCAGCTCAGTCCATAGGCCGGCATAAACAGACCCATGTGCAAAGAAGTTTGAAGAAAAAGCGAGGGCTCTGAATGGACGGGGTCCAATGCCGAAGGAGGCAGGTCTATGCGGGTTAAGCCGTAAACAAGCGCCAAGGATCCAATCCTTGCAGGGGCGCGCATCGGTAGACTGAAGTCTGGGTGCGCAAGGTCCGGGGCTAGGAGTGAAAATCCCAGGCAGGTAATCCCGTAAGCGGATAACAGGAAGCCCAAACGACAGAGTCCCCTCACGCTCATAGATGACTCAAAGGTTGAAAAGTCCAGAATGGACAGAAGGAAGTCCAGGCGCGTGACGCCGTAAAGCGGCAAGATTAGTCCCAGTTGTAGGGGGCTTCGCAGGGATGGAGGCAGTCCTGAGTGAACACAATCCAGAAGCAACAGCAAGCTTTCCGAACAGACCATGCCGTAAGGGAACAGCAGGCTACCCAAACACAGGAGGCTATGAGGCAGCGAGGAAGACCCCAGATGCACAGAGTCCAGTGCAGAAGTCAAGGGCCCTGAGCAAGCCATGCCAAACAAAGGTAGGGTGGGACCCAACTGCGAGTAGGCACGTATGAGGATGGATGAGCCCAGGTGAACGAGGTCCAGTACCAGAGGGCTGAAGCCAGGTCTTGCAACTCCATAGGCCAACAGCAAACTGTCAGGACAAGCCGAGGTTCGTAGAGGCAAGCTGAATCCCGTGTGCAGGAGATCTGGTGCAAGCAGAGGGAATCCCAAGCATTGCAGGCCGTAAACGGGCAACGCGAAGCCGATGCGCAAAGATGTTCGCGGGAACAACGTGAGGTCGATGTGCACAGAGTCAGTTGTCAGCAGGAAGGGCCCCGAACAAGACATGCCGGATAGCAGCAGCATCGGTTCCGGGCGCATGAGCCCCCTTAACAGCAGCGCGCTCCCAAGGTGGGTGGGATCCAGCATCAGCAGAATCGAGCCTGGCCAGGCAACACCATAAGTAAGCAAGGAAGACTCAGTCCTGGAGTGGCCCCTGAGTAAAAGCAAGAATCCCATGAGGACAGGATCCAGCACAGGCAGGGGAAAGCCTAGCTGACTTAGGCCGTAGGCCAGCAACGTGAAACCTGGCTGCAGATAAGTGCGCAACGGCAGGGCTGGGTCGGAATGCACAAGATCTGGCACCAGCAACAGAGAACCCGTGCGCGCGAGCCCGTAAGCCGACGCAAAGCTACCCGGCCGGAGAAGCGTGCGCAAAGGCGTGGGGAGTCCGAAGTGAGAAGGGTCCGGGATTGAAAGCAACAGGCCCAGCTTCACCACCCCATAAGCCAGCAGAGCAAAGCCAAGGCACATGAAGCTATGAATAAACATCATGGGCTCGGGATGGATGGAGTCCAGCACAAGAAGCGGCAGCTCGGGCTGGCTGAGGCCGTAGGCTAAGATTGAGCTGTCCAGTCGCAAGGGTGACTGCAGCAACATCGGGCTCCCAAGCTGAACAGAATCTGAGACCAACGAAATCGGGTCTAGCTTGGTGAATCCGTAGGCGGGCGGCCCGGGTCCCAAACGCATCAAACCACGGAGTGGGGATGCTGAGCCCAGCGTAGTAAAGTCCAGCACAGAAGTTGAAGGCCCGGGTTTTGACAGGCCAGAGGCTAAAGTCGAAGAGTCCAAGTAGCAGAGGCTGCGCGTGGGAAACGTTGAGTCTAGAACTTCGGGGTCCAGGGGTGACAAGAAAGAACCAGGCTTGGCAATGCCATAGGCCGACGTGGGGAAGCCAGGTTAAGCAAGGGACTGCGGCGGGAAGGTAAAGCCTAAACAAAGCAGGTCCAGAATGGACAGGGACAGGCCCAGCTGCGAGAAGCCATAGGCTGGTGACAGCAAGCCCAAGCGCAGAGATGATCTCAAAAGCAGCACGGGCTCAAAATTCACGTGATCAAGTGCTAGGAGCAACAACTCCAGTTGTGATATGCCGTAAGCAAGTAGTGGGCTGCCTATGTGAGCAAAGCTTTGAAGAAGTGGAGTGAACTCAGTATGGGCATGGTCTGGCACTGGAAGGAAGAAGCCAGGCATCGCACAGCCGTAGGCAGGTAAGGGAAGACCCAGCCTCAAGGAGCTATGGGTTGGCATCAGCAGGTCAGGGTTGATGAAGTCCAGGACTGACGTAGAGAAGCCTAAGAGTGAGATTCCCCAAGTTGAAGGGAGTAGCCCGAGGCAAGCAGGCCCTTGCAAGGGAAGGGGTGGCTCAATTCCAACGAGATCCGGGATTGGCATTATGAAGCCAAGGCAGGAAATTCCATACGATAGCAAGGAGCTACCCATGCAGGCAAGGCTTTGTGAGAAAGGCATGGAACCCAAGTGGGTGAGGTCAGGGATCAGCAGCATCGCACCCAGCCGAGCCAGGCCATACACAAGCAGACTCTTTCCAACACGGATGGAGGTGTGCGCGGACGGCGGGGATTCGAGGTTCACAAAATCCAGTACAAAGAGCTTTTCCCCAAGCTGGGCACAGCCAAAGATAAGCAGGGAAGAGCCTAGGCAGACGGGGCCTTGAACAAACGTAGGGAACCCCAAGCTGACGGGGTCCAGCACAGAGGGAGAGGAGCCCATTCGGCTCAGTCCGTAGGCCGGCAGCAAGGAACCCAGGTGCAAGAGGCTCCTCAGGGGCGTCGTTGGTCCCAGGTGTACGGTATCCAGTATCAACAGGAAAAAGCCCATCCTGAACATGCCGTAGGTGAAGAGAGCCGGGCCCAGGCATACGAAGCTTCTTAGCAAAGCAGCTGGGCCAAAGGTCATAGGGTCCAGGATAGACATCGAGAGTTCTGGGCGAGTCAGTCCCATAGCGGGCAAGGAGAGCCCCAGCCTTGCAGATGTTTGCATAGGCAGAGGGGATTCTGAGACAGCAGAGTCAGGTAGCGGCATCAGCAAGTCGGGTTGCAACATGCCAAAGGCCAAAAGCAACAAGTCCATGCGAATATGGCTTTGCAAAGGCAGCGGCGGGCCAGTGCAGGTGTGGTCCAGGGTTGGAAGTGCGGGCCCAGGCCGCGTCAAGCCCCAGGTCAACGACATGGGACCTGGTCTCACGAGGCCTTGCGCTGACGTGGCCGACCCATACTGTATGAAGTCTAGGGTCGGCAACAGTAGACCCAGGCGGCCCATACCGAACAAGAAGAGGGATGATTCCAATTGCAGGAAACTTTGCAAAGACAAGGTGCTGTCAGTGTGGACAAAGTCCGGTACCAAAAGCAATGAGCCCGTATTTGTCATGCCGTAGGCCGGAAGACTGCTGCCAGGCTACAAGAAGCTCCTCAGGGACACTGGTAGACCAAAAGCTGCACGATCCAGAGTCGGCAACAAGGCCTCTAGACAGCTCAAACCCCACAGTAACAGCAGAGAGCCCAAACAAGCAGAGCTTTGGATTGGCAGGCAAGAGCCAATGGTGATGTAGTCTAGCAGCGACATCAAAGGGCCAAGCCTCACAAGCCCATAGACCAACATGACCAACCCTAATTGCATGAGGCTCCTTAAAGGCAGCGTTGGGCCCGGAGCTGTGCGGTCCAGCAGAAGCAGCATGGGATCAAGGCATACCATGCCCCAAGCAAGCAACAGGGAGCCAGGACGCAAGAGGCTTTGAGTTGAAATGAAGAAGCCTGAGTTGACGAAGTCAAGCACTGACAACATGGATTCTGCCCTTGCTAGGCCATAGACTAAGAGTGAGAATCCTGGCTGCAGGGGTGTCCGCAACAACAGAGCCAAGCCTACTGTAACGTAGTCTAAGGCGGATGAGAAGGATCCCGGCTTACTCATGCCGTAGGCGGATGAGGTGAGCTCCGGGTGCATGGATGACCTCATCAACAGGGGAGGTCCCGAAATCACGAAATCTGGTACTAAGGGGGATGGATCAAGGCAACCAATGCCATAGGGCAGCGGTAGGAAGCCCAAGCACATGAAGCCTCGAACAGGCATGGAGGATGCAACGGTGGCGCTGCCGCGCACGAACGGTCCGGAACCTGGGATGGTCTCTTTCCAGGCAGATGGCATGCTTTCTGGTCGCGTGGGGCCTTGCAGTGAAGAGGTTGGGCCTAGGTTAACAGAGTCCAGGGCAAAGAGGGGGAGTCCCAGTTGGCACATTCCGTAGGCCGGCATAGCAAAGCCCAAGCACATGTAGCTTTGCAAGGGCGAGGTGCTTCCGAGACTGATGGAGTCCAGGACAGGCAGTGAGCTGCCCAGTCAAATCATGCCATAGACGGGCATTGCACTTCCACAGCATACGAATGAACGGGGTAACGGCAAAAGGCCAAGGTGTGCGGAGTCAAGTGGAGACATCAACAGCTCCAGGCATGCCATTCCGGAAAGCGGCAGCAGAAATCCCAGCTGCACAAAGCCACGTAGAGATGCCAAGAAGCCAGAATGAAAGAAATCCGGGATCGAAAGCAAAAGGCCCAAGCAAGTCAACCCAAAGGTCGGCGGCACAGAGCCCAGTTGAGCAAAACTTCGAAGCAGCAGGTTAAAATCTATGCACACAAGGTCAGGTATGAACAGTGATGACCCAGACCTTGACATACCATACACAGGAAGAGCAGGGCCCAGCCTTAAGAAGCTCCGGAGCAAGGCACTGCTACCTGGATGGATGAAATCCGGCACAGGCAGAGTCAATTCCAACCACGCGACGCCATACGTGGGCAGCAAGCTGCCTAGGCACCCGAAACTTTGCAACAGCAACATGGATCCCAAATGCAAGGAGTCCAGAATGGACATGGGTAAGCCCAGGCAGGTCATGCCAAACAGAGGCGGGAAGAATCCTAAGCAGAAGTGGCCTTGCGAAGGCGGCCCGGAGCCGAAATTCGCGAAGTCCGAGGCAGGCAACGGCTCGCCGGTGCGGGTGATGCCGGAGGCGGGCATGGGAGGTTCTGGGCAGCTGTGACCACGAAGAGACGTTGTAGAACCCATGTGGACAGGATCCAGGACTGAAGGGGATGACCCCATCCTCGTCACACCATATGCTGAAGTGAAGGGCTCAAGACGGCTGAGGCTTCGTGTGAAAAGGGAAGAGCCCATATGCACAAAGTCAGGGACTAGCAGCAAGAAGCCCGTACGCGAGACTCCATAGGCCAACAAGGAGCTACCCAAATGAATGGTGGACCTCGAGGACGGAGGCAAGCCTGAATGCACGGAGTCCGGCACGGAGAACGGGCTTTCCAGTCGCGTCATGCCATAGACCAAAGTTGTGAGGTCCAAGTATGTGTAGCCCCTGGGCGACAGAGTGCTCCCAAACGTACAGAGGTCCAACACCAAAGGGAAGAAGTCAACTCGGTACATGCCATAAAGTAGCATCGCGCTACCCGAACGAGTGGAACTCCTTGGCGGCAGTGAAGAGCCCATGTGCACAGAATCCAGCACGGACAGCGGCAAACCAAGTCGGTTAAGACCGTACACCGACAAGCTTGGTTCAAGCCGCGTCGGGCCTCGAAGGAGCAGGGGAGGTTCTGGATGCAAGGAGTCAGGCACCAACAGGGATGGCTCTAAGCGGAGCACTCCGGAAGCCGGCATTGAAGAGCCCAAGTGGAGAAAGGACCGCGAAAACATGGGAAATTCGGAATTCAGCAGGTCCAAAGCAGGCAGTGACAGCTCTGGCTTCATGACGCCATAGGCCGACAGTAGGAAGCCCAAGCACGCGGATGCCCTGGGCAACAGCAGTGGGCCCATGTGCACAAGGTCCAGCACAGAGAACGACAGGCCAGGTCTACTCATTCCATAAGCCAACATAGACAACTCCAAGTGCGCGGGGCTCCGGAGCAACAGGCTGCTTCCCATCAGGACATAGTCCAGGACAAGCAAAGAAGAACCCAACCATGACAGGCCAAAGGCCAACACCAATGGGCCAGGGCAGGCGGGGCCTTGGAGAAGCAACGTAGGACCTGGGTTCATGCAGTCCAGGGTCGGAGCCATGCTACCGGAGCGGAAGCTCTTGAAAATCGAAGATGCCGAGCCTGAGCGCACGGAAGATTGCAAAGGGAGTGAGCTGTCGAAAGTGGCAAAGTCCAGCAGAAGTGGCGGAAGGTCAAGTTTCATCATTCCATACACCAGGAGTGGGCTACCAGACCGAGCAAGGCTTTGCAACAGTAATGGGCTACCCAGGTGGATGGAGTCCGGGACAGGAATGGATGGATCAGGGCTTGAAAAGCCATATGCAGAGGCAGGTAAGTCCGGTCAGGCAAGGCTTTGCGGTAGCAGGGAGCTGCCGATGGTCACGAAATCCAGCAAAGGCATGGCAAAGTCTAGCCGGCACATGCTGTAGGCCGGAAGCACATCACCCAGCCTCGCGAAGCACGTGAGAAAGGGGGAGCTTCCCAGATGCACGAAGTCAAAGACCAACAAAGATGGACCTGACCAAGTCATGCCAAACGCTGGCAACGGTAGGCCAAGCCGCAAGCAACTGTGCAAGGAGAGCGGTGGACCTGGCTGGACGAGATCCGGTGCCAGCATGCTGGGGCCCAATCGAGTCATGCCAAAGGTGGAAAGCAATGAGCCCATGCGGCAAGGGCCATGCAAAGGCAGAGATGGGCCCGAGTGCAGGAAGTCCAAAACAAGCAGAGGCAGCCCCAGACGGGAAACACCGTAGGCTGGCAAAAACGAACCTAGCCGGCAAGAGCTCCGAGGCGGCGTGAAGAGTCCAATGTGCAGGAGGTCCAGTGCCAGCAGCAAGGGATCTAAGCAGGTCATGCCAAACACCAGCAGCATGAAGCCACAGCGCAAGAAGGTTTGGGGCGGCGATGATGGGTCCGCCTGGATGTGGTCCGAGGTTGACATTGGTGGACCCAAACTGGTTAGGCCGTAGACGGGCATGAAGGACCCAGGGCACAAGGAAGTTTGAAGCGAAGTGGGGGAACCCAGATGCAAGTAGTCCAAAATCAGCATTGGCAGGTCCAGTCGGCTCATGCCATAGGCTGGCATAAACGGCTCAAGCCACAGGTAGCCTTGTAGCAACATGCTCAATCCCAGGTGAATGAGGTCAGGCATCAGTGGCGGAAAGCCTGGGCATGTCATGCCAAAGATAGGCATCAAGGAGCCCAGTCAGGCGAGGGTCCTTGGAGGCAGCGGCGGCCCTAGAGTGATGAAGTCTAGGGCCGACAAGAGGGAGCCAAGCTGGGTGAGTCCATAAATCAACGAAGGGGAACCAATTCATGCAAGGGATCGGGGCGGCATTGGAAAGTCCAAGTGGGCAAAGTCCGGAAGCAGCAGCAAGGGTCCCGAGCAGGTCAGGCCGTAGGCAGAGGGTGAGCTTCCGGGATGGGCATATGAACGGAGCAGCAAAGTTGAGCCAAAGGTGGCAAGATCTAAGGCTGATGAGGACAAGCCCGAAAGAGAGCAGCCGTAAGCAGACAATGTGAGGTCTGATCGCATGGGTGCCCTGGGTGAAGGCATGCTGCCGAAGTGCGCGCAATCCAGCACAGGCAGAAGGAAGTCCAAGCGCACGAAGCCATAAACAAGCAGCGGAGGCCCAGTGCAGAGAAAAGCACGAGCCAGTAAAAAAGAGTCCAAGTGAGCAAGGTCCAGCACGGGAGGAAACGAGTCCAGCTGCGAAAAACCGTATGCTAACAAGGAGCTTTCGAGTCTGCAGAAGCCTCTTGAAGACGGTGAGCTGCCAGGACCGACAAAGTCCAAAACCAGTGACAAGCTGCCCAGGCACGACAGGCCATAGGCCAATAGAGGAGACCCAAAGCACGCAGGAGTTCGAAGCAGCATGGGTGGCTCTGTGTGAACGTAATCCAAGATCAGCAGCAGGGAATCCAAGCAGGACAGGCCATAAGCAAAGAGCGCGCTTCCAGTACACACGTGGCTGCGCAAGGACACTGCCGAACCAGCAGCACAGAAATCGAGCAGGGAAGGTGAAGATCCAGTGCAACTCATGCCGTAGGGGAGAATCGTAGGCTCCAGGTATGCAAAGCTCCTAAGTAGCAGCATAGGGCCAGTCATCACGAAATCCAAGGTCGGCGTGGACAAGTCCGGGCGGCTGATGCCATAGACAGACACACTAAGCCCGATGTATACGAGGCCACGCAGAGACATCACACTTCCAGAAGTCACATGGTCCGGCACTGGCAACAGGGAGCCCAGCCGGGAAAGGCCATAGGTGGACATCATGGACCCAGGTCACATGGGACCTTGGAGTAGGGAGGAGCTGCCGGTAGTTACAGGATCTGGGGCAGGCAGAGGCAAAGCCAGCTGCGCCACGCCATACGCGAAGAGAGTTGAACCTAGTCGGGCAGAGCTGTGCAGCAACACTGGGGAGCCCATGTGCACGAAGTCCAGTGCGGACGACGAGCTTTCCAAGCAGGTGAGGCCGTAGATTGGGACCGAGGAGCCCATGCAACTGCAACTTTGCAGCGATGCGGCTGGGCCTGCCGTGATGTGGTCCAGAGCTAACATGGGAGGGCCAGGTCTCACGATTCCAAACATGGGAGCAAACAGGTCCAAACAAGCAAAGCTCCGCAAAAGCAGCAAACTGCCCAGGTGGATAAAGTCCAGAACTGAGCAGCTTAAACCTGGTCGCATGTTGCCATACGCTGGAGTCAAACTACCCAACCTTGCAGAGGCTTGCAAAGGCAAGGTGGATCCTGAGACGACGTGGTCCAGCACGAACAGGGAAAGGTCTGGCTTCGTGATGCCATATAGAAAAAGCACAAGGCCAAGTCTTGCAAAGCCTCTCAAAAGCAGTGTAGATCCAGTCTGTGCAAGGTCCAGGGCAGACGCCAATGAGTCCAAACGCGCCAACCCATACACGGACAAGGGGCTCCCTGAGCAGGCAGGGCTTTGAAGCAACATCGAAGAGTCAGAGCGGCAACTGTCAAAGGCCAAGGGGATGGAGCCAAAGCGCACGTGCGAGCGCGCAGGTGGTGACGAATCCAGCGCCACATGGTCCAGGGCGGATGATGGCAGCTCAAGGCAGACCAGGCCATAGACAGAGGTTGGGAAGTCAGGACGACCAGAGGTTTGAAGGGACATTGGGAACCCGAGGTGTAGGAGGTCTAGGGTTAACAGAGGGAAGCCAAGCCAGGTCATACCATAAGCTGAGAGAGCTGGGCCAAGCCGTGCGAAGCTGTTGGTCAACATGAAGCTTTCAGAGTGCACGAGATTCAGCACAGACGTTGCACTCCCCGAGCGCACGAGCCCGTAGACGGACATTGCTGAGCCGTATCAGGACAGACCTCGCAACAACGTTGCTGAGCCCAGTGTCACGAAGTCGAGAACCGACGGCACAAAGCCCGAGCGTGCCATGCCATAGAGAGATGACGTGAACTCTGCTCAAGAGAGACTTTGCAGAAACGGGAAGGACCCTGGGTGCAAGTAATCTGAGGCTGGCAGCAACAAAGCAAGCCGGGCCATTCCATAGGCCAATGGCATCGAGCCCAAGCGCGAAGAGCTGTGCAAGGATAAGGCAAAGCCTGGAGTCACATGATCAGGCACCAGCAATGGCGATCCTGAGCGAGCCATGGAGTAGATCGACAACACAAATCCCAGTTGAGCAAGGCTCCTAAGCGACATCGTCGAGCCTACGTGAATAAGGTCCAGAGCCAGTAGGGTCGGTTCAAGGCGCGTTGCCCCGTACGCGGGCGAAGGTAGCTCAGGCTGCGAAAGGCTTCGAAGAAATGAAGAAGATGCCATGTGCAAGAAATCCGGGATGAGCAGTAGGAAGCCTGGGCAAAGCATACCATAAGCAAGCAACGAGGACCCCAGTCATCCGAAGCTGCGCAAGGAGGCCGAAGAAGCCATGTGCACGTAGTCCAAAGCAGGAGGTGTGAGTCCCAAGCAGGTCAAGCCAGACGCGAAGGTGGAAGAGTCCATGCACCCCAGGCCACGAAGAAGCAGAAAGCTACCAAAAGTCACATGGTCCAGCATCAGTGGAGGAGAACCCAAGCGGACCGTCCCGTAGGTCGGTAAGGCAAGACCCAAGCAAGCAAGCTGTCTCATGGATGGCGCGCTGTCCAGTGACACGAAATCCAGGGCTGGCAAGGGCGATCCCGATCGAGCAACACCAGATGCGGGCGATGTAAAACCTGGGCGCACGAAGGTTCTCGACAGCATGGATGGTTCCAGGCATACAGGGTCCAGAATCAGCAGAAATGATTCCATTCGGGCCATTCCATATACAAGCATGGGCGGCTCGAAGCAAACGAAGCCTTGCGAGAGTAAGGGCAGGTCGGACTGAATGAGGTCCAGGGCTGACGAGGAGAAACCCGGCTGCGTGACTCCATAGACAGGCATCACAAATCCTAGGCGCATGTACGATTGCAATGATACTGCCAAGCCAGCAGTCACATAGTCCAAGGTAAGCAGGCTGGAGTCAAGACGGAGGTTTGCATAGGCCAGCATCAGGCTATCCAGGTATACAAGGCTTTGCAGGGGCAGCAGTAACCCTGTGTTCACAGAGTCCGACACCGGCATTGGAAAGCCCAAGCGTGTCATCCCGAATGCAGGCGGCGGGAGTTCGAGCTTCACGAAGCTGTGGATAGGCACAGTGCTTCCAGAACTCATCCAATCCAGCACAGGTAGCATCAGCCCTGGGCGCATAGCCCCATAGAGAGGCAGAGAAAGTCCAAGGCGACCGCATGATCGAAGTAAGACTGCAGGTCCCAGCGTAATGAAGTCCAAGACTAGCGGAGTCAGTCCAAGGCAAGCAATTCCATAGGCCAGTAGTGCACTCCCACAGTGTACGTGGCTTTGCGGTAACGGAGCAGAACCTAGGTGCAAGGAGTCCAGCGCCAACAGAGACAGTCCAAGCCGGCACATGCCAAAGGCTGACGGAAGCAGGCCTACGCGCAAGAATCCATGCAGGGAGGGCGTGAAGCCCATGTTTCCATAGTCCAGGAGCAACAGCAAGGATCCTAGCCAAGACACGCCATACACTGGCATGGCACTACCCAGTTGTACGTGGCCTCGAAGCAACGAGGTCAAGCCCGTCTGGGTGAAATCCAGGGCGGGAGGTGAAGGCCCCAGTCAGGCACAGCCATAGGCAGGTGAGGTGCTCTCAGCTCACGTAGAACTTCGGAGCAACAAGGGAGAGCCAGGAGTCACGAATTGCGGCACAGGCAAAGAAGACCCCAACCGGGCTACTCCGTAGACAGGCAGCGCGCTCCCAGGCCTGGCATAACTTCGCATGGGCAGAGTTGAGCCTAGGATAACCATGTCGAGTACCAGCAGTAACAGCCCAGGCCTTGCCATGCCGTACAGGGAGAGTGAAGGCTCTAAGCAGGCTAAGCTGTGCAGTGACAACAGTGGGGCCAGGCTAACGAAGTCTGGAGCTGGCATGGAGAATCCCAGACGAGCCATTCCATAGGCAGGTGTTAAAGACCCGAGGTGTGCAAAGCCATGTAAGGGCAGAGTAGACTCCATCTGAATGAAGTCTGGGACTAGTAGGATTGGGCCAAGTCTGGTAATCCCAAACAACGGTACACTAGGGCCGATTCAGCAAAGTCCGTGCAGTGGCATGGTGAGGCCCAGGTGGATGTAGTCCAACACTGGGAGCGGTGGCTCCAGGCACGACATTCCAAAGGCAGAGAGTGCCGAGTCCGAGCACAGAAGTCCTCGCAAGGATGTGACGAAGTCCAAGTGTACAAAATCCAGCGCCAAGAGCGTGAAGCCCATACGGGCCATGCCATAGGCAAACATCATCAAGCCAGTTTGAAGGGATGTCCGCAGAAGCATCGAGGGGTCCGACTGCAGGATGTCGGGCACTGACAATGAGGGACCTGAGCACGTCAGCCCATATGCCAGCAAGGTGAAGCCAGGTTAAACAAAACTCCTGGGAGGTGGAGTGGGGCCTGCATGGATGCAGTCTAGTGCTGGCGGCGTAAAGTCTAAGCAACACACCCCGTAAACAAAAAGCAGCAAGCCAGGCCATGCAAAGCCTTGCAATAACAGTGAGCTACCCACAAAACAGCTATCAAGAATCAACGGCAAGCTTCCGTAGCGGGTCATACCAAAGGCAAAGATGGCCAAGCCAGGATGAACGCAACTCCTGGCCAACAGCGTTGGTGCCATGTTGATGGAGTCTGGAGCGGACAGAGACGGGCCCAAGCATGTCATGCCGAATGCAGATGAGATCGGGCCAATTCAGAGGGGACTTCTCGAGGACGGAATTGATCCCATCATTGCAAAATCAGTCAGCAGCAGTGAAACCCCGAAGCATGTCGCTCCAAAGACAGGGGAGCTGAAGCCCATTCGGAACAGACTGCGCATAGGCGTCGAAGGGCCCAAGTGCAGTAGGTCCAACAGAAGCAATGGGCTACCAAAGCAAGCCCGTCCAACAAGCAACATGGTGGGACCTGCACAGGTGAGGCCTCGAGCTAACATGGATGGTGCCATGAGGGCATAATCAAGCACCAGTAGAAACGGACCAGAGCGTGACAGCCCGCACACCAAAAGCATGGGGCCCACCTGACAGTAGCTATGCAGCGAGGACGTCGATTCTGCGTGAATGAAATCTGAAGCGGGCAGGGGAAAGCCCAAACACGCCATGCCATAAGCTGGAGGTAGCGGGCCAAAGCGCGACCATGCATGTAACAAGAGAGTGAGGCCAGGATGCAAGTAATCCAATGCAGACAGGAATGGGCCCGGTCTATGCATGCCGTATGCTGATGGCAAGAAACCTGGACGAGCAAAGCCATGCAAGGACGACGGCGCCCCTGCGTGGATGGGGTCAAGCAGTAGCATGGCCGAGCCAAGTCGCAACAAGCCGAAAGCAAGCATAAGTGACCCAGATCATGAGGAGGTTTGCACTAGAATAACTGAACCCAACTGCACACAATCTGACACAAGCATGGCAGGGCCTAACCGGACCAAGCCGAAAGGTGAAAGCGGAGGACCCATGCACGCGAAGCTCCGCAAAAACAGCAGGCTACCGAGCGCGCAAAGGTCAGGAACAGGCATGACCGAGCCGGAACGAACAAGTCCGTAGGCCAACAATGAACTTCCAGGCCGTGTAAAGCTCTGCACGGCGGTTGCACTGCCGGATTCTGCCTTGTCGCGCACAGAGGGACAGCTACCCGTCCTCACTTCAGAAAAGACTGGCAGTGAAGAGCCTGATCGCTGGAGGCCTCTCAACAGCATCACTGAGCCCATGTGAACAAAGTCCAGTGCAGGCAACGAGAAGTCCAGAGTTACCATGCCGTAGGCGAACGAGACCAGACCGGGTCAGATCAGATTTTGAAGGAGCACCAATGACCCGAAGGTTGCAAAGTCAGGAGCAGAAGGCGAAAGACCTAAGCGGACAACGCCATAAAGGGAGGCTGCCAAGCCGGCCCTCGAAAAGCCTCGCAAAGACATTGGGCTGCCAGGCGTCACAAAGTCCAGGACGGGCGAGGAGAAGCTTGGCCGAGCCATGCCATAGGCTGGCGGTAGCAGGCCAAAACATGCAAAGGATCGAATTGGAAGCGACAAGCCTAGATGAACAAAGTCTAAGGTCGACATGGAGAGCCCGGGCCGTGCCATGCCATAGGTCAAAAGTGCACTACCCGCCCTGGAGAAGCTGCACAAAGAGAAGGAAGGTCCTAACTGGACGAAGTCCAGAGCAGAAAGGGGGGAGCCAGGGCTAGCCATTCCATATGCAAGCATGGGGGAGCCGGGGCGTCCAAAGCTGCGCAACAACAGCACGCTACCTGAATGGACAAGATCTGGTACAAACAGCAGAGCACCTGATCGTTGCATGCCATACACTGATGAGAACAAGCCGAAGCACGAGAAGCCACGCAGGGATGATGGCACACCCATGTGCACAAAATCTGGTGCGAGCAGGAATGCACCAAAGCACTGTACACCAAATGCAGGAGACGGGAGCTCTGCACGGCACATGCTATGAGGCGGCAAAGAGGGCGCCATCTGCACATAGTCCAGAACAGACAGCAAAGGCCCTAAGCAAGTCATGCCGTAGATCAACAGAACACTTCCTGGCTGTGCAAATCCTCGCAGAGGCATAGGCGCTCCCACCATGGCAAAATCCAATGCCGACGGAGCCAAGCCTAGCCATGTGGTGCCGTAAGTCAACAACAAGCTCCCCGTTTACGCAAAACTGCACATCGGGGACGGGCTGCCGAAGTGGCCAAAGTCCAGCGCTGGTAGTGAGCTACCAGGCCTCGCGAAGTCGTACGCGAACGAAGTGAAGCCGTGGCGGGCGAAGTTTGCAACAGAGAGCGAGCTTGCTAAGGTTGCAAAGTCCTTGGCGGACATGGAGGAACCGAAACGAACGATTCCAAAAACGAATGAAGTGCTACCTAGCCGGGAGAAGCTCGCAACCGAGAGGGAGCTTCCCAAATAGCTCTTGCCCTCTACAGAGATTGACTCGCCGAAACGGACGAAGTCTTTCACGGACAGGCCTTTGCCGAAATCAACCTGATCTGCCACGGAGAGGGTGCTGCCGAAGCAGACCCTCGAGTATGTGGAGAGTATGCTACCCAGGACAGTTGCGTCGAAGACTGACAATTTGCTGCCAACTCGAACATCGGACAAGACAGACAGCGTGCTGCCAAGCACTGCTGTGTCAAAGACCGAGAGCGTCGAGCCGAACTGGACCTGGCCAATGACACTGTGCAAGGTTTCATGGTGTCAGGGGCACACTCTAGACTCTAGACCCGGAACCCAAAATGTAAAACCCTGCACCCTTATATTCCCATATGTCCCCATGTCACTTATAACTGCAGTACGGCCCCATACAGCCCCTGAATCCTACACAGTTTGATAGCTTGCACTTTCTCTTCCCTGCATTCTAGACTATCCCATAACATCCCACAATATAGACTATACTATCCAATAAACATAACATAATATCCCATACTATCCCATAATATGAACCATTGTCTAAACTCCTAGTATCCCCCTTAATAACCCCTATAGTAGTCCCCTATATAACCCCCTATATAACCACCTTTAAGGAGTTTAGAATATAGCTCATATACAGTAAGCTTCATGTCGGCACCTGGTCAATGACGCTGAGGGACATGTTGAAGAAGGCCTCCTGCTCCTGGCGGTTTTAGTGGTTAGGGTTGATGGCTCTTAGGGTTCTTGGGGTTCAGAGTTTAGGGTTTAGGGTTTTAGGGCTTAGGGTTCTTGGGGTTTAGGGTTTAGGGTTTAGGGTTTAGGGTTCAGGGTTTAGGGTTTAGGGTTCAGGGATTATAGTCCCCCTTAAGTAGATAGAATATGGCTTTGGGTATACTATAAGATCCCCATATACCCCATATTCTATCTACCTAAGGGGGATTATAGAGATTGGAGTCTACGGTATAGGGCTCCAGAGTTGGTGTAGTAGAGTGTTAGAAGCTGAACGTCCGAGGTTTTGGTCGGCTTTTTTGCCTTTTTCTCTTTTTCACCCTTGCCCCGAATTGTCTCCCGGCCCCAAAATTCCAAAAGGCAGAATCGGCTCCAAAATAATTCCAACAAACCTGAACTTTGCTCCAATGTGGTGTCATAGCCCAAAATAGGCAAGGGGGGTCCTAACTCTATGTGGATCCCCCTTCAGGGCTCCAAGAGGGGCCCTTTTTTGAGAAACTCCTAAGTGACCACAGTAGCAAGATGGATACTAGCAAGAATACGGGCAGCTGCATTAGAGGAGGGAGGTCCTGTGCAAATAGTTTCATCAAAGGGGCTTAGACGGGGCATGTAGAGGTTATGACGAGTTATGTAAGGGATATACAAAGCCTTGTTAAAGCCTCCTGTTGTTGCCTCAGAGATGAGAAAAGGAACATTCGACACCAGCAAGCTAGGTTGAGAGTTTTGCAGAGGCTGCACCGCAGCAAAGGGAAATATTCAAGCATGTGATCGGCCACTGTAAGACTAAACGATATAAGTGTCCTCTTACTACTTCATGCTAGGCGAAGCTTGCAGAATGTGGAACCCTTCTCCCTACAAAGGCTCACAGTATCCCCATTTTGATACACCACTCATGGAGCTCTTGGTGCCTGGGTGAGCACCATGTACGGAGTTTGTCCACCGAACCTTTCGGAGAAGATGACCTGATTGCCGCGTGGCAACAACTGAAATTCATTTCTGGAGACCGGCTTCCGACCGGGAGGTTCATATGTGCCATAGTCTAAACTCCTAGCATCCCCCTTAATAATCCCTCTAATACTCCTCTACATAGTCCACTGTATAACCCCCCTTTAAGGAGGTTAGAGTATAGGTCACATGGAGCGAGTGTACATGCATTGCAGAAGTCAGGGCTCCCCTGAACTTACAACAGGCTGTCGTCGTTCATTGATGGGTTTAGGGTTTAGGGTTTAGGGTTTCCCAAAATAATGGGTACCCCCAAATAGACCCCAATATACTATAGCCCCTGTTATAGGGACCCCAAAAAGGTACCCCTAATGTTGGGAAACACCCATGTATGTTCTGGTGGCATACTGTAGGGGCCTAGATAAACACCAATATGATGGTCCTTTGAAGGAGCTTACATTTAGAGCTTAGTATTTGTGGTTTAGGAAATAACAACCAACGTGTTGGACGTAGATTCCTCGTTTAATTCTGGTACAAAGTGCCTCAAACCTGAGATTGGCGCCCCTACACCCAACCATCAACAAAACAAAAAAAAGATCCCACAAATTCTAAGCCCAAGTAAAGATCCAGGTCCATTTGGTAAGTTTCATGAATACGGCGACCTACTGTAGACCCCGAAATGGCATAATCCTTTTTGTAGGGAACCCCCTTAAACCCTAAACCCCAAACTGTAAACCTTTGCAAAGGCCCCTTTTGTTAACCCCCTTTCACGGTAGGGTTTAGGGTTACAGAAAGTTTGAACCATAAAAGACCCTTAGGACAACCAACATTTTGTAGTTCTTGGGGTAGAGGGTATATAAGGTGGTGCCAGATTTCCTCCATCAAGAGCACGGTGCCCTAAGAGGCCCCAGACTTATTTGATGTAGGGTTTGAGGCTTAGGGTTTAGAGTTTGTACTTGGTGTATGAGGACCCCAAGATTGAGGGCCAATACCTGGGACCTTATCGGACAAAACAAGGAAACGCTGAGCGCGAAGCTATGTCCATGGGCCTCTGAACGGTCTCCACTCCGATACTCCATTGCCTGCTGTTGCGTAGGCGAAAC